GGGGGAGGGGAAGGGAAATGCACGGGACTATGGTGGTGGCACAGGGGTGATGGGAAACCCGCGGGGATTACAATCGAGATAGAAAAAAAAATGTGCAAAATGATGTAAAAATAAACTCTGTAATAAAAATAAATAAATAATAAAAAAGTATAAAAAAATAATTTCATCCTAAAGTTCAGACAAATTAAGGAAGCTAGAAGTAACTTTTCATATAGTCGATCTCTATCTGAATAAGACTGCTTTTTGTTCTATCCTAAATCCTCTTAGGTTAGTTTTATCTAATGTCCACTAGATAATAACCAATCTGTAACTTACTACAGATTATCTCTGCATTGATCACTCAGAAAACTATGATAAAATTAGTGTACACAAATAATTTAAACAACATGTAAGGCAGATGCCTCATAAAAGAGCTAGGTCTCTGAAGTCAAACAGAACTGCATATAAATCCCAGCAATTTTTGTTTCTTATCGACCTCTATCCATATTCTACCATGCTTAAATTTAACACTTTGCCTAGTGATTTATTATGACAGCATGGCAAAGTATTTAAGAAAGTACAGAAGGATCCAAATGATTGAATTCCAGAAGAGTCCCTGCCTTCCCCACGTATCATTTGTAAAATGGATTAAGTAGCAAAATCAATATTGGGAAGATTAAAAAGACATAAAACACTTAACATAGTACCTGCCACAAAAATAATATATGTCAGCAATCATTATAACTTATATAATGATTTCTCAGTTCAAAAAGCATAGTTATCTCCTAAAATTATAGTTATATTATAGTTATCCCTAAAATTTCATCAACCGGTGACCTAATTTCCAAGATATGAAATTAAAAAAAAAAAAAAATCCTGGAATGGATTCTAGTTAAGATAAATGTACCAAACAAGTCAAACCAAGTGGGCAGCTACCTGAAACCAAACTTATGGCCTGCAATAGAGTAGTTTTTGTCCTTTCCTTAGAGACAAGGTCTGTAAAGCATTCTAGAAATCAAAACAGCTTCATTTAAAAGTTATACTCTGGTATATGAATAAACAAATGAAATGCAGTCAGGCTGAAAAACATTATTTGGCAAAAATGAATGACCTACTGGGCCTACAGTCACCCTACATGGGAGGTTACAATCTGTTCTCGGGAGGCAGCTACAGTTCCGCCTCATTCCTGAAATATGGAGATTTGGCAAAAAGGACAGATAGCATTCCAGGCACTATCAATTTAGTTGTCTGGCAGGCAGGATTTACAATTCATTTACTGCATTTTTCTTTTCAAGTACTATGTTCCTTGGAACAGTCATTTAACTATTAAGCAAGAGAGATCAAAGCAGGGAGGGATTCTGAAATCATAAGAAGACAGTCTCACAAATGTCTGTAAAACATTTGTATCTAGGTCTACAGGGAAACTATTTGATCAACAGTCTGAGTGAAAGTTGTAAAGGGTAACAAAAATAAGAATTACATGCTGAAATAATTAACATTTCCCTCAATAACTGCCTCTGGATATTTTAAACATACTCAGGACCTCATTTTATCTACAGCACTCTGCAATTTAAAATATAAAAAGAATCCCAAAGCAATACCTAAAGTAGAGCTCCTACCTCCTCCAATAAACAACACAGCAAAAGGGCATGTCAGTCTTGACTTAAAAGAAATGTTTAAGACTTTCATATCTCATTTACAAATGATCACATTACAAGTATTTATTTACATGAGTAGTTTATATTTGAAAAGCAGATAGTTGCTGCTATCAGTGCATTTATGAAAACAGAATCTCGAGGTTTTTGTTTTAAAGATTTTATTTACTTCTTACTCTATAGAAGAATTGGGATGTAGGCCAGAGTTGTGGGAGGTAAGAGGATTCAACAGAGACAGTGGGGAGCAGAGCAGGTAGATTTACTGAAATACACTATTGAGGGGAGCAGCAGGCGAGAAAAGAGGTTTGCTCAGGCCATCCAGTTGATAGCACTAAGACTTAATTCCTATGCCACAGGAAAGGCCCTTGAACTATCTTTTTAAAAATCATAATGTAGACTTCAAAAGCAGCGTCCCATTTTTCAATTTCCTATATTGAGTTGGAGGAGGTGAGGAAAAGACACCAACAAAAATGAACCTGATAATGGCCCGAAGTGCTTCATCAAATTGGAAGCCTGCTCCTAGCCATCACTCCCTTACCCAAGATGCTAACTTTATGGGTACACCACAGCAGAAGGCAGGTATGAGTTACGAAAGAACCCACAGAGAAGCAAGGTGAGCAGAGAAAAAGTACTGTCACCTCTGGGTGACTTTTATTTTTCTGTTTCTTCTGGGGTCTGTAAACTTCATTCCCTTTTAAATTAGAAACTTTTTTTTTTAGTATAAACCTTCTCTTGTAAAACACCTTAGTGTGTTTTGTGAAAACCTGACGTTCTGACACCTTGTGAATGATGCCTACTAAGATGCTATAGTCTTAGCTATTGACAGAACTTAAAAAATAAAAAAGGTCTGAAAAATACTTTACGCCTACAGCTAAGGAAATTCCGTCCTCATTAGGTAGCACCCATATTTCTAGAATACTGATTTTTAAAGATCATTGCTCCATGAAATAAAGAGGTTATGTTTTGGTGAGATTTTTGGTTTAATTATCAGGATTAAAAAAAAAAACATACATATGCAGTTTATTTTATGTCAATTGTACATCAGTAAGTTGTTTACGTTAAGAGTTATGCAACTAAACACACGTAACTACTCCACTGAGGTCCTTGGCAGCTTATTAATCATCTCTACAGATTTTCACTTGATCTGTACAAGTCTGTAAAACTGTCACAAGTTAAGAATATATTATCTGGTCAATAATTTTAGGGGAGCCAAAATCCATGCGTAGCTCCAGAATGGAAGCCAAGGGCCACGCAGGGCTCTAGTTCCACTCCTGCTGTGTGTTCTTAAACAAGTCAACATCCCTGGGCCCTAGTTTCCTGGCTAAAATGAAGGTAGACAGGTACACCTGAGAGGTGCCAAGCTGTTTAATAGTTTATTGGCTTCTCTACTGGAATGCTGGTCCTGCCATCTGTTTGACAAAATCCTGTTCAACCCTCCAGTAATGCATTCATATTCTACTTCCTTCAAAACCTTGTCTCACTTCCAGAAATGAGTCCTCAAGCCCCTCAAACCCATCTTCCAACACTCGTGAGCACTTTATCATAGAAGCCATACACCACACACAGTACCTCACACTCCACATGTACTGTATTTGCTAAAAACTATTATGAAAATAGTAAAGAAAATAAGTAGAACCAAAACAAGCTTGCCCCATGAAACCTGCCGCTCTCAGAACTTCGGAATATAGCAGCCTCCAAGCAAGAACCATCTGCTTCCCTTACACACTAAGTTTCTTCCCTGAGAATTAGAGCCTTCTGGTCACCTAGATAAGAGCAGTATTGCATAGACAAGGATTTCTAGTACTGGCTCATGGGGATTATAAAACTCTCCAAACCTCAGTTTTCTCATCTCTAATGCACATAACAATACCTTACAGGATTATTGTGAGAATCAAAGGAGTGATTAGAGTCCCCTACAGAATAAAATCCAAATTCCTTAACCTGGTCTTTAGATCCCTCCATGAACATTATCTACACATCAAGGGATCAACTCCAACCAAATTCGAGGACATTTCACTTTCATTTACACACTTGCCTAGCATTCTTAATTATTCCTTTGGCTCGTGATCAGGCCCTTCCAAAAAAAATTCTAGGCATCCTTCAAGCTGACCGTTGAGAAATGCTTATCTATTTCTCTTCTTTCCAATGCCCTACAGGTCAAGTACTCAAACTCTCACAGAAGTGATTTATAAATTTCAAGAGCCTTTTTCTTTTCTTTTTTTTTTTTTGTTGAGGAGGAAAGCTGACCCGCAAGGGGTAGCTTCCCCCCCAGTGGGAAAACCGTTTGTTTTACATACACTGGGACAAAGCTGGCCAAAAGGGACTGGAGAAAATTGCTTAGGCACAAGTAGGACGGCAGAAAAAGACATAATCAGCCTCACCGCCTGACTTCCCGATCCGTCGCTGTGAGCTCTCGGCTACAGAACCCAGGAACGACCACCGTTTTCCGGGGTTAGGCACCTGATGAGCAGGGGGGTGTTTTCCTTTCGTCTTACCTCCCTTATCTCCTGATATTTTAAAGAAATAATGCTCGAGATGAGAACAAGGGCGGATACCAAGCTAGGACAAACCAGTCTGCAAAGTTTTTAATGAGGGCACTGCACCGGAGCTGAAGGAGGCTCCTCTCGTCAGCCCTGGCCAGGCGAGCTGGAGCTTCACTGTCAAACAGGAAGGAATGCTGGGGTCGCCAGCCCCGATCTTGTGCAGTCGGGGCATTAACCCGGCAGGCGACTCAACGTGCTCTATTCCGGAAACGCCGGCCCCGGGAGGACGCCGGCCTCGGCGCCGCCATCCTGAGAGCAGGGCGCGGCCAAGCCCAGAGCTCCGGAGTCCTCGCTGGCTCTACTACTCCGGGCCGCCTAGGCCCGGCTGCCCCACATGGCGGCGTCCGGCCGCTAGGCCGCAGGCCCGGTCTCCCATACTGAGATGGGTTCGGCTCCCGCCTCAGTTCTTAGCCCTAGCGCCCAGGCTCAGGCCCTCACCTCGTCCCCGGACATGGCTGCGGCTCGGGTAGCTTCAACACAAATGGGAAGTCGGACGGGTCAGCCCCAGGCCTTGGCGGCAGCGCTGCTCCAGCCGATACCTCTCCCACCACCGCACTAGGCTCTTGCATCAGCGAAAGGAAAGACACCCCGCCCTCGCCTTCCAATCGTTGGAAATGCGCCTGCGCAATGCCCGTCACGGCGCAAGCGCGCGGAGCAATCGACCTAGCGCGCTTCGTCTGGCGCCAGTTATCCGGCGACGCCGCGGCGCCTTGCATTCCGGGACTTGTAGTCAGGCTAGAAGAAGGCGGTGCTTGCTTGGCCGCCACAGCGTGATCCGTGCGCATGCGCGACGCCTGGGGACGCCGACCGGAGGGCTCGGTGTCGGTAGTTTGGTGTTTTGTGGGTTGGCGGATCAGCGCTTTGCTCCCTGTTCGTGGGCGTGAAGTTGACGTTATTGCTCCTTGTTTAGGGGTGTTGGAGACAGTAATCTGAACTCTTTAGGGCTGCTACTACCAGCATGCCTCCTTGGAGCTTTCTAGTGCTTGAGGAACTCAGATGGAGGCGGAGGCGCGCACCTCGCTAAGGGCATGTACTTTGTGAGGAGCTTAATTTGACCCGCTGGATTTCAGCTTGAGAAGCAGGAAATCAAACGCCGCCTCCTCCCCCCCCTACCCCAACCCCCAGGGAATACTGGGGAGAGATGTTCCCTCCGGAGAAACGACTTGTCGACAGGCAGTCGGTTTGGAAGCTTCAAAATAGTTGTTCATCTCTTGTCTCTGCTTGAACGCTAAGGGAGCGGCATACAGTTCCCCTTGAGCCATAGTAATGGTTACTCTTGAGGGAGTTCCCACTTTTATCATTGCGCCTGAGCCAAAGACCACTGAGAGCAGCCTGGTGCTGAACAAAGTTGAACTTACTGTCTGTCGTCCTGCAAGGAGGGAGGCACTCCATGAGGCACAGGCGGTCATTTCAGGAAGATGGTGCTGGAAAAAAAACTTGGCTTGTTTTAGGTAATTTGGGGGCCTTCTCTGGAATAGACACTATAGGAAGGGGAGATAATTCTCTGATGGTTATTTTAATAATTCTTGTCTACAACAGAAAGAGAAGACCCAAGAGGCTACAAGTTAATGGCAGGTTAAGAAATAGTCCCTTGTGTTGGCCAGGATAGGGGGTGATTGGATATTTCTGTGGTCAGGACTGTTCTTTTTCGTTTGTATTCAGACGGGATTATGATTTGTGTTTGTATCTTGACTCATCGTGGTCACAGAGTGGCTTTGCCAGGTATTGGTGTTCTGTGAAATTGTTCACGTTCAACAGGGCAGCATATCCTAGCTAATAGTGCCATCCTAGCTCCTGCGACCAGGGGCTACTTTTCTCCTTGTCACTGTGTTCCCTGTCATTTGGTGTATGTTCGGTGCATTAGACTTCAAAACAACTGTTTTGAATCTACAAATATTTAGCACTACCCACTGGGTTAGAATCTAGCCCCTAATCTAGAATTAGGTCTCTCTTCTGCAAGTAATTTACAGTTTAATGAAAATGATACTTTATTAGTTTCCTTTCCAGATGAGAAAAGAACTTTCATGGCATTAACTAATTAGTCTAAAACCCTACAACCAGTAAAATGGAGAACCTGGGTATCCAAATCCAGACAGTCTGATACAAATGACTGCTACTTTACCTGAGAATCTGCACCTGGAAGAAAGCTGCACTGCCTCCTCAGTAATCAACTGCTGATATCTGTGCAACCTAAGGCTTCTCATTAGCAACACTATTGATCAACATTTTAGGTAAATATCCTCTCTTGTTTTGGGCTCTTCTGTGCGCTTGGATGTTTAGCAGCATCACTGGCCTGTAGCCACTCTAACTTGCACCCTCACCCTTGTTATGACAAACAAAATGTTCTCCAGATATCAATTACCCATGGTTGAAAACTGGGTATCTGCAGTAACAAATATTTGAGGCATGGAAGTCCACAAATCAGTTTGAATAGGGATACCGTAAAAAGGAGAGAGGGAAATAGTTTGGCCTCCTTTGAAAAGCCTGTTTGACCCAGAAAATGAAAAGTGAGACAAATGAAGAGTGAGACAAACTAGAGATAAATGAAGTGGGGAATCAGAAGGAAAGAAAAAGATATTCCTTAGAGATTTCAGGCTTTTCTCAGGGTAATGACTTGTTTTTCAGGAAAAGCCAAGATTCACTGAAGATCTGGCAAATGTCACAAAACAATGGTAGCTAAACTTTCCCAGGTTTTCAAGGAGATACCCTATTTAAATAATAATATCAATGTAAATAATCATATATCCTAACACCTCTCTTCTAGGAATCTCTGCAAAACATATACACATTAATGTTCTTGTCATGGTGAAGGAAGTCATTGTTATTTTCCTGTTTTATAGATACAGAAGCCAAATTATGCAGACCATAAAAAAATAGTGAGAAATTCAGAAACAGACTACTGGAATCTTCACTCTGGGTCATACTTTACCCTCAGCACCACCCATAGATCTTCGGCTGCTCAATAGTAAGCTAATGATGATAATTCTTCAATTATATATGAAATTTTCAGAGACTTTACAATATTCCCTGGTCTCTTCACATGACCCATAAAATAGCAGACTTGTAGAGACTCTAACTTAAAGTGAAATAGTGACAGTATTTAAAGTGAAAATCAGATCTCATGATTCTTGATCCAGTACTCTTTCTATTTTTTTTAAAGATTTATTTATTTATGCATACAGAACTGGGGTGCAGGCCAGAGGTGCAGGGGCAGTGAGAGGATTCACCAGAGACAAAGTGGGAAGCAGAACAGGCTGACTGAGGAAGTACACTGCTGAGGAGAGCAGCAGGTGGTGGGTCAGGAAATGTCTGCTGCGCCATGTGGATCACCTCTGAAGTCAGGGATTGTATTCGTGCTGAAGTGGCTTTAGCTTCTTAGTTCTGTGCTTTAACCTGCTGCACCACTGGGGAGGGCCCAACCCAGTACTCTTTTGATGGACAAACAAGCCATACCTACTTAAAGAAAGCTTAATTTAGATAGAGATTTTAATTCTAAAAAGCCAAACCTATTCAGTCCTTTCATTTATGAGCATCTAATTAAGTGGGACCTTTAAGTATTAGTTTTGCTAAGAAAAAGAGACAAATTCTGAGATATTAATGAAAAGCATCTAGTACTGAAATTAAATTTATCTTTGGGTTGATAGAAGATACCTGTTTTCTCCCCCCAGAGATGTCTTGAATAGAGTTATCCTTTGAGGACTAAACTAGTAGGAATGAATTCTTATTTAGTGGTATGTAGAAATGACTTATGAAATAATGTATCACTGAGAAGATTTACAAATTATCAAATCTAAGCAAGTTGACCCAGCTATACTCAAATGAAAATACTATTTCAAATACTGTTATTACGTCACTGATTCCCAAATCCACATTTCCAGTCCAAACCTCTCCTGAGTTCTAGCCTCACATCCACATGTCTAACTATTTGCTTATCTTCCAGAGGTCTCAAAATTACTTAAAACAGACCTATCATTATTTTCCACTGCAAGTCTTGTTCGTGTTAATTGAGAGCACTGCTCTCTACCCAGTTGCTTTTAAACCAGAAATCCAGAATTTACTTCAAGTCTTTTCTTTTCCTCACAATCTTTATCCAATTCATATAAAGTCTTGTTCTCTGTCAAAAATAAGCCTCAAATACTACCACTTCTATCACTATTCTCGTAGAAGTAATTGTCATCTCTTTCTTGGATACTTCAACATTCCTCTTGTCCCTTTCCTTCATAACAAGTAAGACAAATTCACTTAATTGGCCAGTTGTTTGTGATTTTTATAATTTCACTTTATTCTGTATGTAAACTCCTCTAGGCTAGTTATTCTTAGCACCTAACAATGCCTAGCTCATCATAGGCACATAAATATTTATTAAATTAATGGACAGAAATACAATAGTTTCCAAGATTATAATTTGATTGCTTACAATAGTTAAAATGGGGCCTTTTTTTAATCAAATGTGGTAAAAATGACTGAAACCACCTTGACCATTGAAGTTTCCTCCTACCAAAGTTGACATTCCCAGTAAAACCACCTCTATAACCAGCACCAAAGTTTCAAGAACCACTTCAACCTCTTTGGCTGGATGAAGCACTGGTCATTTCTTGTTTAGATAGGACTTTCCTTACTTTGCAGGTGTGACCAAAGTATGGTTATTTCTGAATCAACAAATCATCATTATTAATTTACTTTGGTTTTCCTGCAATGCTAAAATAACCTCTTAGGTGAGTTTTTTTTTTTTTAAGATTTATTTTATTTGTGCATATGAAAACTGGGATACAGGTTAGAGGTATGAGGGTGAGAAGATTCACCAGAGACAGAGTGGGGAGCAGAACAGGTAGATTGACTGAAATACACTTCTAAGGGGAGCAGTGGGCTGGTCAGGAGAGGTCTGCTGCACCATGTGGGTTACCACCCTGGCTGGGGATCAAACTCGTGCTGCAGTGGCTGTGGAGAGCTTCATAATGCTGTGCTTTAACCCACTGGGCCACAGGGAGGGTCCTTATGTGATATTCTTTTGTGTCATCTTTAATGTCACCAGCAAAAATATTTTTCACAGTTAATTGGACACCAAGTTTTTGAGAATCTTCCCTTAACACAGCCCTCTTTGGTTCCACAACCCTTCCATCCACCTTGCTTGGCTTTGTGTCCATGGCTGCATGTACTTCCTCCGTGGTGGCATATGTGATAAATGCAAAGCCTCTGGAGTATTTACTGTTTGGATCTCTCATCACACAATCTGAGGGTTCACCATTGTTAAAAATGGTTTCTCAGACTTTCATTAGTTGTTTCAGAGCTTAAATCTCCAACAAAAGGCTTCTGCAGTGATTCCAGCTCTTTGGGAGACTCCAACTTAGTCATGATGGCAGTGGCAGGGGAGACTTATGATACACAGGCAGAAGGCTCCTCTTGGGTAATTTAAGCTTTTTAAAATGTTTTAGGTGGGCCCTCCCTGGTGGAACAACAGGTTAAAGCACAGCACTATAAAGATAGCCACAGCCACTTTCAGCATAAGTTTGATCCTTGGCCAGGGAGGTGACCCACATGGTGCAGACCTCTCCTTGTCTCACCTGCTGCTCCCCTCAGCAGCGTACTTTGTCAGTCAGCCTGTTCTGCTCCCCATTCTGTCTC